AAAAAAAAAAAAAAAAAAAGAAAAAAAAGAAACAGGGTCTTGCTGTGTAGTTCAGGCGTCCTTGAACTCACTATGTATCCCAGGCTGGCCTTCAATTTGCAGCCATCCTCCCTCAGCCTCCTGAGTGCTGGGATTACAGGCATGTGCCACCACATCCAACAGAATGTTTGCAATTTAACTTAGCAAATATGTTATGACTTTACCTAAGGCAAAGTTCATGTTATTCTACCATTTCTTTACAGATTGCAGTATAGCTAATAATTGTTTCAATATTTTTAGGGTTTTCAAGGACCACGTCAAGTTCCAAAGAAAATGGTTGTTATAGAAAATGGGGACTCATCTGCATCCTTTGAGTCTGGTGCTGCTTTTTTCCCCCCATCCTACAGCATGCCACCTTTGTTTCCTACTGTGGGGAGGAAGGAGATAAATAACACAGATACAGCCCCCGACAGCACTGTTGCTACCCAGACCAGAGCCAGCCAGGGCCTATGTTCTTCTACTCCCTCTGAGCTGAGCCCTGGAATGCTGGGAAAAAAGGATGCTTCCTGTGTTCCTTTGGGCCCTGGACACTGGCATGCAGCCTCTGCACTGGCGATGGAGCCCATGAGAAGACACAGCTTGGTGTCTCACTGCCCAACAGCCTCGAAGCAGCACATCAGAAGCCAGGAGCAGATCTTAGCTCTTCTGAAGTCTACATCGGTGACTACGTGTGTGCATCAGGATTCTGAGCCGGCAGAATGCTTTGGGCAGCTGCAGACCCCCGCTGTGTACAGAGCTGGCTCAGAAGGTTGCGTTGAGGTAATGGACACAGAGCGGCTCCACAGCCCGAGGCACTTGGAAAACACTGCGGGAGGCAGAAGCCTCTGGGCCATGTATTTATCCCCACAGGACTTTGCAGCAGCTTCTGCCGAGGGTGCAGAGGACGTGGCAAGGCAAGCAGCAGTGCAGGAAAATGACATGCATTTGGATCTGGACCTTTTGGAACAAAAAAGAGTGCAGGCCTTTGGAGCATGTGCTGAAAAGGGCAAAGAGCAGTATGAAGACAAGGCAGGGGACAATAATGGATGTTGGCATCAGGAAGAAAAACTGGAAATGACTTCATTTTGTGGAAGCAGCAGCTTGCTGTTGAGCAGTGCAGGACAGGGTGGGCTGCTCTCAGAAGCTTCTGTTGTTGGAAATAACAGTGTACTTTTTAGTGGGCAGGACCAAGGGTGCACAGGAGAAGCTGTGTGGGCCGTCAGTGCACGTGCATCCCCAGGACAGGAGTGTCCACGCACAGTGCAGTCTCCACCAACTGTGGGACGGTGGTGGTCCAAGTCTTCTCTGAGTCAGGATTCTAGGACCCCTGATGACATCGAGGACACAGTTTCTGAAAGTGATGCTGCCAGTGAGAGGCCGGAGGGTGTTCCAGAATCTGGAGGGAATGAGACACAGCCATATTTGGAGGTGACGTTTAACCTGAGCAATTTTGAGACCAGTGATGTGGAGGAGGAATCACAGGAAGGCAGCAGCCTCTCCCAGAATGTAGGGTGCTTGGAAAGGGAGATTTCGGATAATGGCAGTTTCTGTGTTCAGAAGCCACACAAGGGTTTAAGCTGTCAAGACATTAGCAGTGAACGTTTGCCATGCTTAATGTCCCTTGGTGACAAGTGGACAGAAAATTGTCCTGTTAAAGAATCACTGTCACAGTTTTGTGATAAAACTTGTGTGGGTATTGACCCAGGACCTTGTGAAGATGGAGAGGAGGAAGATAGTGACACTGTCAGCAGTTCTGACCCATCTGCAGCAGAGAGCACTGACGGATGTGTACAGAGCTCAGAAGATGCTTACAGGTCTCTCCAAAATGTCACAAGTCACTCAGATTTTGCCTCACTCTCAAATAAATCTAAAGGAACAGGTGCAGATTTACATATTCCTGACTTTTTAAACATAGTCAGTAGTCAGACTCCTAAAAACAAGGATTTATTTTCCCCCATACAACCTAGGCCTTTTATTTTAGGAAGTGACTTAAATAAAGATACTAAGCAGGTTTCCCCACCAGCCTCTGACTGTGACAACAGTATCCAACTACTGGACAGCCTTCAGGATCACTCAGAACATACTGCACTTGGTAAGTCCAGTTCCCAAGCTTGCAACTCTTTGCTTAACCTTCAGGAAACAAAGCAACCTCTTTACAGAGAGACTGAAGGGTATGTTCCTGAATGTGACGATTTGGAGAGGGGTCGAAGTTTATCCTGGGACTATATCGAAATAGAAACTGCTGGAAACAGCACCCAGTCCTGGAGTAATCCTAGCAATTCTTCAGAACTCTCTGGAGGGGTCAATAACATTTCCCTTTTGAAGTCACTGTCTGAACACAGTACTGCTGTAGAAAGTGTGGATGTGCTGAAATGGCAGAATATGGGGTTTCCGCATCGAGGAGCTCCACAGTTGGAAGGGGCAGAGGACAGGACCGGAGGTCAGAATACTGTGGCTCCTGGATTTTCTCTTTGACGCTCAAGGCTGAGAAGAGAATTACATGGCAGCCAATTTATAAAATTTCAGTGTTTAATAGCAAGGTGTGGTGGTGTATGCATGGAATCCCAGCACTTGGGAGACGGAGGCAAAAAATCGTGTTTCCTGACTCCACAAAAGGGTTATGGTTTTTTTTTTTTTTTTTTTGGCAGAACCAAGGATTGAACTCAGGTGCTTGTGCTTGCCAGGGAAGCGCTTATTCCACTGAGCCATCTCCCGAGCATCTAGGGGTTATGTTGAAAGGAGTTAGTTGTTTCTACCAAGCAGAATATTTTTTCAGCTCTGTAGTATCCACCAGATACATTTCAAGTTGTCACACTGACATCTCTGCTAGGGAGAAGACCTCTACAGCTTTGTAAGTTCATGTAACCCTTGAAGATTGCTGTTCAGTAAGTGACACTGAGTATCTTCACATAGCTAAGCATTGGTTTGTCCTTTTCCCGAATATCTGTTCTCCTTGGTCCAGGTTTTTTTTTTTAAATACAGGTCATTGATCCCTGGGCCTTTTCACTGAGTTACATTTCTAGCTCTTTTTTTTTTTTTTTTTTGCTATTTTTTATTTAGAGACAGAGCATTGCTGAATTGCTAAGATGCTCAGGCTAAGTTGCTCAGGTAGATTCAAACGTGAGACCTTCCAGCCTCAGCCTCCCAGAATGCTGGGATTATGGACATGTGCTATGGGCGTGTCTGGCCCCCGTCAGGCTTTTTCATGGGCATTAGTCTTCTTTTATTTATTTATTAATTAATTAATTTATTTATTTATGTGTGTGTGTGTGTGTGTGTGTGTGGCCAGCTCAGCCCACCAGGGGGCGGGGCTGGCTGGCATGTGGTGCTGGGGGATTGAACCGTAGTCCCTGGGCTTTGCTAAGCTTGTTCTAAGTAGGTGCTTTAGACCACTGAGCCATCTCACCAGCCCAGTCTTCTTGATTTATTAGAGTTCTTTATATATCACAAGTATTAAGCCCTTATATTTGCTGCAAATACTTCCAGTATGTCATTGGTCTTGATTTTGCTTATGAGATGTTGCCAACAGTGTTCTTCCTTTAAAGAATGTAATAGTAAAGTACATGTGAATGTTATACTTTATAGTGATGTCAAAGAAAAGCTAAAAGCCCTATTTGAATATCTGAAATGATTCCTTAGTATAAATAAATCATTGTACTAAAATGATTCTTTGAAAGGTAGTTAAGTTTGAGCATTGTTAATAGTTTAGTTTCTAGGGGCTGAGGAGATAGCTCAGAGGCATAAGCACCTAACTGGCAAGCACAACATCCTGAATTTGATCTCCAACCCCACATGCCATGCTGGCCAAGATCCCTGGGTGCGCGCCGTGAGTTCCTCTCAGCCTAGGGGCTGCAAAAGTGAGGGTAAGGTCGGCCCAAACTGCATAGCAAGACCTTGTCTAAAAAGAAAAAAAAAAAAAAGTTTAGTTTCTAAAATAATTAAAAATAAGTAGAAATGGGCTGGTGAGATGGCTCAGTGGTCTAGAGCACCTACTTAGAACAAACTTAGCAAAGCCCAGGGACTACGGTTCAATCCCCCAGCACCACATGCCAGCCAGCCCCACCCCCTGGTGGGCTGAGCTGGCCACACACACACACACACACACACAAATAAGTAAAAAAATTAAAAAAAAAAAGTAGTAATATTTCATGAAAAATAAATCTGGGTATATCTGTAATACCATGTAAGATTCTAAAATTTTATTTCTTTTTCTTTTTGAGACAGGGTCTCACGATGCAGATCAGGCTGGCCTTGAACTTACTTGTAGCCCAGGCTGGTCTCAAACTCATAGTGATCCTCTTGTCTCAGCCTCTTGAGTATTGGGATTATAGGCATGTGCCACAATGCCCAAGATTATAAAATTTTAATGTGAGGATTTAGAAATTATAGAATTTAGATTTGGGGGAACTATTCTATCATCGGACTGGAAGGGAGAATGTGGTTGATACTTATTTTTTGCTGTTTATGTGAAGTCACAACAAACTCACTGATCATGAGCCATTTCTCCCATGGGAAGTACAGGGTTGAGTTCCTGAAATCCTTTGCTCAGAACATTTTGTCACCTCATCGATACATACCCTTATTTTATGTGTGTTTCTGTTTGAAGACACATTCCTTAAACTAGGTGTGGTGGCTCACACTCATAATCTCAGCACTTGGGGGACTGAGGCAAGAGGATCACTGAAACTTTGAGGCTAGCCTGGGCTAAATAGGGAGACCCTGTCTCAAAAAGCAAAATATAAATACATAGATCACCTTCTTTGATAGTTGATTTACTCATTAGCATTGAACTAATGGTCCACTGCATTTTAACGCAAAAACTTGACTGAACAAAACTTCAACCTAGGATGAATACTTTCCCCCTGAGAGACATTAGCCTTCTTGCACTTACAAACTGGATAGCATTATTTTATTTTTGTTTTTATTTATATATTGTTTTTGAGGCAGAATCTTGCTGTGTAGTCAGGCTGGCCTTGAACTCATTATGTAGCCCATGCTGGCCTTGAACTTGTAGTAATCCTCCTGCCTCATCTTCCTGGGTGTTAGAGTAACAGTTGTGTGCAACCATGCCTGGCTACATGGCACTAATCTTGGAGAACACTTTAAGTAGTACAATTGATTAGCTTGAGGTACTTACAAATGACAAAATCTCAACAAAAAGCACTATGATATGAAAAACATGGCACTAAGTAGACCACAAAAGGACATCAGTTTACAGCAGAAGCCAAAGCAAATAGAGTGTTACCTTGCTAGGGCTGTGCCCTGTGGGTAGCTCAGTTTTCACAAATACTAACATTAGCAACTACAGTAGTGCATGGTGTGATATAGGTGGTGCCAGAGAATGGCAAGGTCAGACCCAGCCTGGACAATTTATCAAGACCCTGCCTTGAAGCAAAAGATAAAATTGGACTGGAAAGTATCTCAGTGTGAAGGTCTGGGTTCAATTGCAGTACCACACCACATCACATATACCTGTACTGTCACAGTGTTGACATTAGGGTCACAAGTGAACTAACTCTGAGGAGCAAAGAGAACCCCCGAATAATGAAGATTGACTGTTTCCTAATACATTTCTCTAGAAAGAATTAAGTTGCTTTTCTTTTTTTTTAAAAAATTATTTATTTTTATTTATTACATTTATTTATTGTGTGTGTGTGTGG